TTTACAATTATAAAAAAATATTAGGAATCCTAATTATTTATTTTTTTTATTAAAAAAAAATTTCTCTAAACCCTTGCATTTTTACCTTATCCTAGCACCACAAACGCGCGCTTCGTGCGAGCTATTTAACACTTCTTATTATAATTTACAATAACATCAACTTCAATATACACAACTGTCAAAATGCAATGACATAGCCGCTTACACGAAGTTAGCGCAGCGAAACAATCAATCAGCATCGCGGAAAAGCGACAACAAATAATTTCAAGAAATGCAAGTTATCGACTTTACATGCACTTTCTTAGATAAGTAAAATAGGGGTGAGTTATACGGCTATTCATGAGCAGGATAAATGAAACTCGAAAAATATACAAATAGTCAAATAATAATAGTAAATAACACGTGAATTGACAACCTAATTTGCATTTACTCATTAATAAATAAATAAAGAACGTATTATTACAGATTATGAATAAGTACATACATAAGTATATACATACATGAATGTTATGATCAATGTATTGTAAAGGGCGTATTATTACGTATTATTATTTACTTTTATATTTACAAATAAATAATAGAACGTCTGTGCTACGGCATAAATCTCACGCGCTAAAAATGCTGTATATTCCAAACAGATGAGATATACGAAACAATAAACTAAACAAAGGATACAAGATAGAAGAAGACTAAGCACTTGTATTTTGCTCAATATTTTACTAATCCTCTACACTTATATACCACGAAATAATCACGAAAGCCTTTTACATTTCCTACAATAATCATTTTATGTAGATTATAACTTATGATTGCGCTACTTATTACAATGATAAATCGATTCAACGTACAATAATTTTATAAATATTAACAGTAAAAAACTGAAATCACGACACAATACTAATATAACATAAAGGTATGTAACAGAGGGTAAATATACCGATGAAGGGAGGCTGCTCCAATGATCTTGCCCTTTATATATGTTGTCAAGGGCATGACCCCAAGTAACCTTCAGGTGGTTTTAGCCGTCGCTCGTTATTCGTTAAAAAGTTATTAATGA